GTGAGTAGGATACCTTGTGGTACGGAGGCTGGCCCACACATCAGTAACAGAGTGTATCAACAGTGTAATAACTACCCTCGTCATTAACCACTACTTCACAAATACATAGGTCACTGATGTGGCCGAGCAACATAGAGAGTGAGCCCTTGTAATCCTGTAAATGTCTCTGTTTTGTTTGTTTGCTTGTTTTGTTTGTTTGTTGTGTTTGCTCTCATAAGTTGTATCTTGTACACAGTTGAGTTTCCATTCTTGTAACTGAACATCTTTTTATTGACCAAATTTTCAGAAAGTACAGCTTTGTCAGGTTTTCAATGTATGAGCCCTTTTAAGTTATAAAAGATACTTCCTAATTGCAGACATGACACCAAAACCTGTAGATAGAGACCACCTGCCTTAAAAGCTCATCTATAAGAGCCATAAAGGGTGATGTCTTTAGACATGCTGAAACTACCAGAAAGTTACCCGAGAGCTAGATTGAATACCTGTGATGAGGGACCACTTAAAACTGTAAGGAATTGTAATGTTTTAGTAAAGGTTCCAGTAATTACCAGACAGCTCGCAAGAATACCTGTCTTAAGGGACCACTTTTAATTGATATGGTGGTCTCTTTACACAGCCTTTTCTGTTCTTTCACATAACATTTCAAAAACATATCCTATTTTATACAAGGACAATTTTTTTTAAAGAATTTATTCTATTTTTCAAGAATACAATTAAAAAATAATCATGTCCAGAGGAAATTTACTGGAAGAAAAAGAATTACCAACCAAAGTGAAAAGTAAAATTTATTTCAATTGTAACTGATTATAGAGCCCCTCAAGAATTGTCTGTAGCAGGAGTTGCCAGCGTTCCTGGTAACTGCCTCTTAATACCATCTTCCAGGGGGATTTGAAATTAAAAAAAATACCAAGTGTTACTACAGGCGACAAGTGATTGAGCATGCACCACTGCTTAAGGTCACTTGTACTCTTACAAATATCTTCAGAAGAAAGGTTTTGAAAATTCCTTTATTTCAGAAATCTATACATTAAAGTAATCTGATAATTATTTTTAGTAGTTTTAATCTGCTCTTCGTTTCTCTTGCTTGCTAATTTGTGGAAAAAGAAACCCCCATAAAATGTATTAGGATAATTACCATTTCGAAACAGAATTACTTTTTTCGTTTTAAAACAGACACCTAAATCGGATTTCTAATTACACAAGCTTCGACTGAGGCAGACAATATATACATTTAAAGAATCTCCCAAACTGTGTCTTAGGATCTTTCCACAGAAAGAGATAATTAAAGGGACACATTTTCAGCAAAACTAGTAAAATCAATTTTGTCTGATTTATACATGCATGCTGGATTTACGAAGAATTTCAATTGCAGGTTGCTGTAACAAATATACTGCTATGTGTCTAATTTTTGAGAGTTCTATTTTCCTTTTTTTTTCAAGGATGGAATAAATTGTGAGGAACAGAAACATTGAAAAATAAGAGTGATATCATTATTCCTGTAAAAACAGTCTGTTTGTGTCAAACATTCAAATAGTTATTTACAGAATTTGTAATTGTATGGACTAAAAATTAATCTTTCAAACTATTTACAAATAAATATTAGACATAATTAATTCAAAATATTTTTTAAAGAAGATGCAAATGATATTTTTACAACCAAATCCAAATGAAACACCAAAATGTGATTATAAACCATTTAAACTAGAGTTATCTCCCCTATATGTTTTCACCATCACCAAAAAGAAACCATAAAAAGTTATTCCAGCACCTTTTAGGAAAATGGGATCAACCAGAATATCAAAACACCCTATATAGAAAGTACAAACCGAACACAACGTGCACGTTTCGGTGTGCCTAATCTATAATGATCCATCCGTAAACGTCGCCTGAAAATTAAATTGAACATAATTTGAAAAACTAATTTGATTTTAAATTGAAAGAAATACCATCACAGCTCCTCGTATCTTTTCAAAACATCAGTTTAATTTCCGTTTTTTCTTGGAGGGTGTTTTTTTTTATAAATAATGAATTATCATTTTTACTCTGACAGATTTAATATTGATTTCAGTGTTTTCTTATCTTGCAAATAGAATCATACATATCAAGGAGAATTTTTCCATTTTATGAAAACTGTCGTTGAATATTAATTTAATGAAAAAAACCTACAAATAAAATTTCAGCTAAGAAGATCTTTTTTTGATACAATATCGATATGGAAACCAATTCACAGATTGGAGTTATTGACCCTCACTTAGGGTACCAAAGTATGGTTTAAATCATATTATTGTTTTGACCCTCACTTAGGGTACCAAAGTATGGTTTAAATCATATTATTGTTTTGACCCTCACTTAGGGTACCAAAGTATGGTTTAAATCATATTATTGTTTTGACCCTCACTTAGGGTACCAAAGTATGGTTTAAATCATATTATTGTTTTCATGACTACCAATTATATCGGTGACGAGATATTTAAATTTAAACTATCTCTGTTAGTCCTAAACAAGATTGAAAAATTCACAATTGTGGGATTGAATATGATGAATTTATTTCAGAAATTACTGATGAAGTATTTGACAAAGCATTTACAAGTGCAATAATGAGTTTTACTGCAAAAAGTAAAACATGTCTATAGTCTTCTGTTGTACTAAATGAATTTGAATCATTCTTTCATCGAAACATAATTTTGTATTCCAGCTTAGCATAATGTTAATTTACTGACCTGAATGTACATGACATAAAATTGTTGAAACAATGTATGAGAAAAAAATATAGGTCACGTGAGTGATTGATCTGCTTGTTATTTCCAGCATAGCACTGCAAGCGCTGTATTTTAAACCTGTGTTTCTCTTAGCAGGCATGCAAGAACTGAGCATAAAGTTGTTCATTACAAAATGTTCTGGAAGCTGATATTGATTGAAGTCGCGTTAACGGTTCTTCGTTGGAATTAAAATCAACCACCCGCACCTTGTAAAAATATTCTTTACTTTCCCTGGTAGGCTGGTTTTATTCAAAAAATACTTCATTTCAGGAAAGGCCAGTAGAGAAATTAACACTTCAAACAATTAACATTTGTACCAGCACTGCCCAAAACAGATGATAAAAGACAATGACTGTACAATCTAATATCTTTATCAGGTTTCCTATATTAAGACTGAGCTTCATTTGCATGTTTTGTTTTCCATGTTACTGTTTCAAGTAGACTTATCAAAAATTCAGTAATCATTCTTTAAATTTCAAGAAAAAAACAAAAAAAATTAATTAGTAATTTTCATAATCAAAGTGAAAAATATTTTAGCTTAAAATCTCTTAGAATACGTAAAAGCACAGCTGCGATTAATCTTGTATAATGTGAAAATTTCATTTAGGGGTTAAAAAATCAATTACATAACATTCGCATGCAGTTGTGTTAAAATGTAAATCATAATGAAAAATGACAATCATTGGAGAAAAATATATCAAATTCAACTTCAAAATGATGTAATATTTGAAAATATTTCATCGATATCTGATCCTGAAAAATGTTAAAAACCAACAAAACTAAGAAAAAAAAAGAAAAGAAAATATAGCCTAGCAACCATTATTTGCAATGGTAACAACCCAGATGTACATTTCATTACTGCTACAACTCCTACTAAAAGCTTAATTTTATTGTGAACTAATATAAACAAGATAATAATGCTGACATTTTCACTTATTATCTTTTATACCAAATGCTTTTCCTATCCCTAGAGCAAACACAATTTTCGTCCCCTTCGTGAGATATAATTGGTCAAATGTGAAACTGTTCAAAATAAAACGACCCTATGTTTGTCTTGAGAAAACAGGCACTGTCTTTTTCAATTAAAATTTATCAAAATAAATGTGAAAATTGTTGCCTTAAGATTGACTACTTAATCCAATACAAATGGAAGGCAAAGATCAACTAGCTTAGCACAAGTCTTTTTTCTAATTTTTTTTTGGTGGGATGACTAATTCAGTTCGAGTGATTCATCGTGCTGAAACATTTGCATTGTTTTCTTGATGGCGTCCTTTTCTTCTCGACAATGCGTACACACAGACATATATTTTTTTTATCACAGGAATACACATTGAAAATCAACCAATTCTAATGCAGATCTCTTTGAACAGTCTTTGAAGTCAGTCATGAAAAATTTACGCATTTGGCATTAACAAACACGTCAAAATTCTACTCAGAAATCTTGCGGCATATTTTTTACTGTTTTATTTTTAAGTCTTTTTTTTAACTGTTGGAATAATTATATAATTATATAAAAGAGAAAATCCTCCAAGTTTTAGCTGTTAGTTAGCTAAGCTCTATAAAAACTATTATTAAACATACTTTTATATCCCCAATTAATGTAAAACATTGACTACCGTATGTATCCAATTGATCAATTGCAGATGTTCTGTTTGTAATTTTCTTAATTATATAAAGCCTTTTCACTAATCACTTCAAAAATTCCAAAAATACTTTTCTCTAAACTCCTGGCTGGCATCAACTGTGCACAGAGGAGAGTGTTAGATAATTTCACTTAATCCAAATCAAAATAAAAAAAACCCCACAGACTCTTTGTATACACTGTGCTAGACTAGATGAGTTAACTCCCTTCATACATGATATAAAAACCAGTCACACTACCTAAATCTATCATAGTTGTCTCCCCTTGTTTGAAATGTTGTATCAGAATAAGAGCTTTAATGCCTTTCTATCCGAAAGTCATATTAAATATAAAAGATTACACAAAAGAAATAGTTTTATCCAAAAACTTATCCAAGAAAAATCATGATTAATTCTTTGTTTCAAAACCTTAGAAAACATTTAACTGTTTAGCAGAACATTTTTGCTAATTATATATCTATAATATTACCAGTTTTCAAGTATTTTGCAAAAGTGCTTTTGATAAGGAAAAATATTGTTTTTGTTTTTGTTTTCTGTGCAAAGAAACAAACAAACAAAAAGATCATAACCATTCAAAGAAGAAAAAAATAATTGACTTACCTATCATCATCCAAGAGCCCTGTACTTTTCTGCATGCATTCCTTAACTGCTTGCATTCCCTCTCGGAACCGTTGTTGAAGACGTCTTGCGTACAGTGAAGCTCCACCTTCGGACAAATAACCACTTGTCATATCATCACCAATTTTGTTGCCCTTGAGAATGTCACCATCTGACATGTAACCTGACACGTAGTCATATGTATCATAGTCTGAGCTGTAGTCTGTGTCAATGGAACTGTTCTGCCCCGTTGACTGAGCCCGTTTTATAGATCCCGAATAATATTTATTAGGATCACCGATGAGAGGTCGATTAATTCCTAGACTGCTTGAACGCGCATAATAAGCAGTGGTTGGTGTAGCATAACCCGGGTTATGGAAGATCTTTCCCGATGCTGGTGACCCAGGCGAGCCATACCCACGTAAATATCCAGACGACCCATAAGGCATTGCTCGCATAATCGGTTGCATTGGTTTAATGTCCATAGCTTCTCCAGAATCATCCACAAATGTTGTATCTTTTTCTGATTTTTCAGAAAATGTTGTTTCCCGAAGGTTATTTTTAGTTGTGTCACTATCCTTATTCACAGTTTCTGTTCTAATTTCAGTATCAAACGTCGTTTCAATCTTTTCCCCATGACGGGGCTGAACGATTGCCACATTATTAGCGGGTCGCTGTAACTGAGAATGTATCACTTTCATTCCGAGCCTCGGAGAGTTTGTTGCGCTAGTATTGCTTTTTTCGGATCCAGAGAAATCCTCCACATTTAGCGACTTATTGCATATCACACTTTCATTGGAAGAAGAACCTGTTCCACTTGGTGCACTCTGACTTGAGGGGGTGGAATCACTTCCAGAAACCGATACTGGTGTAGAGTGGCCCGACCCACTCTGACTGCCAGACATCTTGTATTCCTTATCCTTCGCATGACTTTTTTGAGGAGGTTCGGTTTTTGGAAGAGGAGGAGGAGTTGCTCTGTTTAAAACAGATAAAGATGTCTGAGTATTGCCGTCAGACTTTGTCATCACTGTGGTGGCAGTGGTGGCCACAGAACACGTTGGCTTCACCACATTCACTGTCTGAGATGATGGAATCATATTCGTCTGTGCAGTAACACTTACTTCCTGTGACCTATCATTGCCCTGGAAATGGCCAACAGTTACTTTCGGGGACACTAATAAATTGTTTGGCTTAGCAAAATGGCCTTCCCCTACTCTTTCAATCCTCCCATCCGAGTATTCAATCTCTGTGTATCTAGTTCTATGCTGCATTTTGTCATCTGTTGATAAGTCCTGAGAGCTCACTTTTGATTGGTCTCCGCCCCCCTCTTGTATATGTGTCGAGCCTTTTGAATGGTTAATACTGTTGGAAGGCTGCTGAGCCTGAGGCTGGTATTGCATAGATTTTGGAGAGGAAGTTGATGCATGATGAGATTTTTGGGGCAATGACGAAGGGGTGGATGACGACGATGACGACGATGACGAATGCTGACTCTTGCTTTGTAGTTTTGACTTTTCTTCTTTGGCAGATTTACTAGACTTGCCCAAAGATGATGATGGCTTAGGAATGCTACTTGCGGGTGTAGGTATCTGGGATGAAATGGGACCATTTGATGGTGATGATTTTGATGAGGGCGATTTTCCTGATGAAGACTTTGGTATTAAGCTGCCTATCTTGGTTGCGCCTTTCTTGCCCTGTGTCGGACTAGCCTGGGCCGATCTTGTCTCCCGACGATCCGACTTTCCACTGACCTTTCTACTGGAAGAATGAGATTGTGAGCTATGTGAGGGAGGTACCGGAGGCGAAGAAGGACTTTGGTTACTTAACTTTGCCCCTACCTCATCTGTACCTACCCCACCAAGCTCTCGGCGACCCCCAAATCCTTTCACCAAGGATTTACCAGTTTTTGGCGGGAGCTTGGGACTTTGGGGTTCTGAGTCATTAGAAGGTGTACTACTACTAGCTCCAGGATCTGTAGAACTTGAGCTCCGTGCGGAGCTTGTCGTCGATCTGACGTCACTTCGATCACTACACGAACTTGTACTTGTTGTACTACTTTTTGACGTACTTTTGGGCACACCGCCCTTACTTTTACTTTTGTCTTTGGAATTGAAAAATTTAAATTTGTCCAACATAGAGTTTTTGTTGGCAACGCTAGCCTTGTGAGAGGTACTTTTGTTGGAAGCAGTGGAGCTCGTCGACGTTGTGCTCCCAGAGCTTACAGCTCTCGGCTGCTTGTCTGGTCCACGTGGACTCACCAGTGACCTGCCTCCTGGAGTGGGGATCCCTGACCCACCAGCACCAGTACCTGGCGATGTTGCCCGCGAGGAAGCAGGGTTGTTGTTTTTTGTGTTGAGGTATGTTGAGCCTGAAATGACACAAGGAAAGTAGAGTTATTAATTTATTAGAAAAAATATATTGTATACCGTACTGTCAGTAACAAGTATCCCTTCGTTTCTGGATTACACCTTCCAGTGTGGCCATCTCCTATAGATAAATTCTGCACCAATATCTGCCACCATTACAATCGGCAACTATTATAATTGCTGTTAAAAAATGCCCCATGTAACATTTTTTTTTCAAAAGCACTAGAAATGAGAAAATTCATTAATTCCAGACATTACAATGAAAGCATTATGCATCTAACATAACTCACAATTTAAATCTGTCAGCAAATTTGCCTTGATGGGACAAAAGAAACACAAACAGTTCAAAAAAGCCCAGAGGAAACCCGATTCCATAGAAAACTGATAAACAGTCAAGTGAATGAGACAATTTGTTAACATGTGAGGTTACTAACCTTTCTTAAGTTCAGGCCTACAACCAGAGAATTGTCTCTTTCTCACTCACTGGTAAAAGTAACATTAAAAATATGAATCCCGTCTTAGCTATTACACATAACCTGTATACTCTGTTCCACAGAAAAATCTTTACAACAATGAAAACTCATTTGTCTAACCACACAAAAAACATGTATTTTTAAAACGTTTGAGTGCAATGTGGAATGTCAAAAAAAGTTTTATAAATATATGTATGGACTAACGGAACAAAACCAGCCTTTCCTTCGCTGTTTAATTTTCTGTCCGCATTATATTGTAGATATAAAGAACCCATCCTGCTGGGATTTTTTGTCAATCGTTCAAGTCAGTTAACCTTAAATTAAAATTCCTCTCCCCCTCCTCATCATTTCAACCACAAAATCATTTCTGCCCCACTTGCCAACTCAATAATTTCATGTTTTAGCTTCTGTGTATAATTTTGTAGGAGTTCTTACAAAACTAATTGCATCATATATAATTTTCTTCAAGGTTGACACTTTCATCAGCTCAATAGCAATAAAAACACATTCCCCTTCATCTCTGTCATTACACAATCTAAGAACAGATTTTTTCATAAAAGTATGATTTTATCATTCTTAAATTCAAAGGTCAAATCTTTGTCAAATGATTCAGCTGACAGTACAATGAGTACCTAACTCCTTTGCTTACACTGTTAAACCAGATAAGAAATCTGATGTATTGTTAGCTTTCAAAAACTTTTAGTTGGAAATGATTCAGAAATCTAGTTAACCCCTTCTGTTTCCCCCTTTTTTGATAATTCCATTTGAAAACCTGTTGAAGTTACTCATGGGCCAGTACAAATGATACATTGGAATATTTTAATGTCAATGTTTAAGGGTCCTATTTCAATTATTTACATAAGTACAGGGATTTAGATAGATCCTATAACAAATATACTTCTGGGAAGGCTGGAGTATTAAGGATAGAGGGAAAGATAAAGGGAGGATGGAAATAAAGGAATTGTAGTCATAGAGGAATGAAAGTAGGGATGGAAGGATTGAACAAAGACAAAAGAAAGGAGGAATAAAGGAAAGGATAAAGGGAGGATGGAAGGAAGTTAGGGAGATGTTGTCAGGGAAGAATGGAGGTAGTAAAGATGGAATGTAGGAAGGTGGAAAGGAGGAATAAAGGAAAGGATAAATTGAGGATGGAAGGAAGTTTGGGAGATGTTGTCAGGGAAGAACGGAGGTAGTAAAGATGGAATGTAGGATGGAAGAAAGGAGGAATAAAGGAAAGGATAAAGGGAGGATGGAAAGAAGTTTGGGAGATGTTGACAGGGAAGAATGGAGGTAGTAAAGATGGAATGTAGGATGGTGGAAAGGCGGAACAAAGGAAAGGATAAAGAGAGGATGGAAGGAAGTTAGGGAGTTGTGGATGTACAAATGGAATTAAGGATAGAAGAGTGGAGGAAATGTTAAAGATGGAAGAAAGAATGAAGGAATGAAGGGAAGGATGGGTGAATGGATGGATGGGTTCAGGTTATTTTTTATGTTTTATTGAGCACCACTTAATCACAAAGGAAGCCTCTTATGATTAATTTTAGTACTCGCAAATATAATCCATTCATGGTCTGAAGAGTATTTTATTATGGTAATTACAACAATCCTTCATAATACACCTCCTACCACTGTCACTGTAGATACCTCGGGTGTAAAATCACATTAGCATCCAGTCATTATCAAATCTCCTACACTTTAAACAGGTATGTGCCAGAACCATGCAACTCAGACAACAAAAGAAAATCTTCTACATAAAACTGTCGTTAACTTCCACTATAGTAAAGGTACGATATCAAACAAGAATGAAAACTCGGCAAAGGTTCATTTGATTAACAATGTCAAAATACATAAAAATTATTTCTAAATTTCTTAAAGTTGTATCACTTTATTATTCCAATAATTGTGAAGAAAAAGATATCAAAATACAAAAATCTCCCTCATATGTGTTCAAAACACAAAATATGTCTACATTTTATCATGGCCTATATTTTACAAGTCAGCACTGATGACAGTTGATTTTATCACACTTGGCAAGCCACGCTTGAACGCCATTAAATTCAATTCACTCATCTAGTAAATTTTCAAAATTATTGAAATTCAAATTCAAAACTTTCACAATTGGGACTGATAGCGATAAGATATTAACAATATATTTCAAATTTAAAAAAAAAGTTTATCAAAATTTCATAAAGAGGACAAGTCTTTAAAATGGATGTGGTCCAGACAACAGACTTTGGTTTTATATATCAAACACAACACAATTGTATCAGTACTCGAGATCTTATAAAAATGTATCCAAGTGGAAAATGAACTCAACTGCTATGTTGAAACTATACAAACGTTTACCTTATGTACTTTTAAAACGTACTGTCAAACATACAATCTACCTTGTTCTCTATTTTCAATATCAACAGCTTCATAATAGTGTTTCGTTCATTGAGTACCGAGAAATTGACAATTATTTATGTGTGATTATAATGCATATCAGCGTAAAGAAATGAAACAATGATGAATTTATTTACACAACAGTCCACCTAGTTTTAGTCTGTCTAGAATGGTGCAAGGATGCGTGTAATTTTATGTATAACAATCATTATTCATGAATAAATCATCGGGGCGACCTCTTGAGCATTGAATCACTAAGAAATCCAAAACATTTTTATCCTCTGGTTTGCAATTGATATTGTGGTTTTCTTACATAAATAATTCAACCTTTACTCAGAAAAATGTGACAAATTGAGAGCTGATGAAACATTAACAGTATGACCAAACTGCTATATATAACTAAATGATACGTTTATAACTTCAGTGTGAATCCCCTGGGTTAAATCTGTTACGATTTGACAACCATACTTATCCAGCAATAATCCCATGTCTGGCAATAAGCCCACCCACTTCTTTTGTAATTCAGTAAAATTGTTGAAAAATATTCTTTATTGTTCAACAATTACGCCCATCCTCTCCTTGAGTTGAAGTATTTGGTGTTTGCCCCCTGGGCTTATTATGAGACACTTATGGTATCATAATTTCAGAATGGCCTGAGGTAGTTAAACTTTTTTAGTTATACATATATGTATATATCATTCAGAATCTTGAATGAGTCTAACTTCAGGTCCAAATGAAATCCAGGCTGTAAATGTCTCCCTTGCTCCTGTCTACCAATTATAAACAAGTGACAGATTTATTTGACAAAAACCTGCAGCATACCTCAGGGCCATATTTTAACATCACTTCTGTTTCACGTGGTAGTCTTCAGTCTACATTACATTATCAATTTGTCACTGGTGTTCTACTTTCACTTTCCACAATCTTTACTTTGTCATATTTCAATAATATATGTAATAAGATTATAAACAGAGACCTTACATGAAAATTTAAATGAGCAACATTCCAAAACATTTGATTATAAATCTTGAATTTTATAGTAAATAAACTTCTTCAAAAATCTATTCTTATTATAAACAAAAATATTATGATAATTATTTAAGGTAATGTGTGAAGATTTACGATGGGAAAGATTGAGAATTAGATGAAAATTCTTACCAACTGCAGCCATCGTCTGTTGTGTCATAGGATGTAAACAAATGTATTTTTGCCTGGTGATTAACTATCTACAGTAATACACTCAAATTTGTGTCGCCATAACACACCACAAAACCGGAAAGTTCATCATGCATGTACTGTTCGTCGTCTGCATAAATCCTTGAATACTATCCTGTTTCCATGTTTATAAGTACTTCTCTGTTACCAGTACACAGCTGGCTTCATGTTAAGTATTCTTGTTACTCTATCAAACTTTTGTTTACAAATTTGTATGAATTTTTCCATGTGCAATACACAACAGTCAAGTTGTCCCAGGCGTTTAAAATTTGAATTTCATGCTTGCCGATTCACAGGTCAAGTGTTGAGAATATAAAATGCAGATTAATTCAGGTCTAGGTCACATCGGTCAAATACGACAGTCAGTCACTCTTAGTAAGAAATCCAGCGATTCAGAACACACTGTCTCTATACAGACAAATAACACATCAGGAGAAACTTCTATCTCACAGTGATTTCAGGGATTTAAGTCCACTATCAAATCAAGAGAGTGACGGTCCCAATTCTCCACAAACGACTTACGACTTTTAAGGTGATATGATACCTTTCAATGTTACAAGACAGTCACCTTGAACGCCTTTCTCGTTTGTCAAAGACGGCCACAAATTTAACACTGGTCACACCTAATTCTATCAGCTATCCAATTTCTTACCCTTGCACCCGAAATTCAAGCACATTTCATCTGTCATGTTAAATTTCCGGGTCTAATTATACAGGGAAAAAATGGACCAGAATTAATCTGACTCTGTCAGTGCATTCATTTCAACAATGGGGGAAAAGTCTTCCCCAAACATTGACTTATCAAATGTACAAAAAAGTGAAAGGAAATTGCATCAACTAATTTTATACAAAATGTTTACACCAATTTCAAAATATAATCTAAATTTGATTGTGTTTGATACTGAACATTACATATCATCCTTTATACA